AGGCCATGTGTCCAGGTGCAGGTTGAGGCGCACTTTGGTACGGCAGAAACTCGTGATCTAGGTCTCCACATGTTCAGAGGCTAGCCGGAGGACCAGGGGGGGCCGGCCCGGTAGTTTGGGTTTTGGCGGAGTGACCGGCTTCCGCCTGCTAGCCAGTGATCAGATTCTGTGTTGAGCCGCAGCGGATGCACTGCCCGGGAGTGCATGAGTGTGTGCTTGCCTTGCTGACCTCGCCACTACGAACGGATATGGACACGAGGAAAAGTGACAGTTCAAAGACGTTATACAAAACACGCTAGCAAGGCCAGGAGCAATACCCGTGCTAGTGGATGGTACCAGTGAGCCGTTAGTAGAGCATTTATCATATACCACGGGGTCGGTGCTGTGCGTTTGCTTGGACTGGGCTGTGTGCCCTTCGTTATCTTTGCAGGTTTCTGCTTGAGGGAACTAATGGGTGTGATCCATTGGTAGGTGTTTGTTGCGGTTACCATCCACGCAGTTGCTTGCTTGGTTCGTTGCTTTGACACAGCGTGCCTTCTTAGGTAGGTTATGACTGACGATGTTGATGGCTATCAAAATGCTCCACATTACACACACGTATGGAAGCTTTTCCGGGGACTCGAGCTCCATCTGTGTAACAGCTGCCATGGATACCACCACCCATCGGCTCCACCCAGACTAACGCGGCAGCAGGCGTCCAGGTGTGCATCGCTGAGTTACACACTACTACTGCACGCAGCGATTTCAGTTTTTAGTCGTACCTAAAGACTGTACGAGTATACTGCACCTGTTGACCTGCTGAGCTTCCCATGGGTGTGCGTATGAAGGATTTATAGACACATACATATTCGGTACGGATGAGAAGGTATTACCATACGTCTATCTAGCTTCATAAAAGCCGCATGTTGCTGGGAACTACCGTCAGACAAGCTATGGAAATACATGGCACATAAGCAACGTAATAGTGGAAAATTGACCGCATGACCGCAACCAAGGGGGACCCCGCTCTGTTGGATTGCCCATGGCCGTGTGGCCGTGTGGCCGTGTGGCCGTGTGGCCGTGTGGCCGTGTGGCCGCATGTGGCCGTGTGGCCGTGTGGCCGTGTGGCCGTGTGGCCGTGTGGCCGTGTGGCCGTGTGGCCATGTGGCCGTGTGGCCGTGTGGCCGTGTGGCCGTGTGGCCGTGTGGCCGTGTGGCCGTGTGGCCGTGTGGCCATGTGGCCGTGTGGCCGTGTGGCCGTGTGGCCGTGTGGCCGTGTGGCCGTGTGGCCGTGTGGCCGTGTGGCCGTGTGGCCATGTGGCCGTGTGGCCCCGTGGCCCCGTGTGGCTGTGTGGCCCCGTGGCGCCGTGTGGCCGTGTGGCCCTGTGGCCGTGTGGCCGTGTGGCCGTGTGGCCGTGTGGCCGTGTGGCCGTCTGGCCGTGTGGCCGTGTGGCCGTGTGGCCGTGTGGCCGTGTGGCCGTGTGGCCGTGTGGCCGTGTGGCCGTGTGGC